TCCCCTCAGCCGGGCCGGGCCCCGCCGCGCCCCGCCCAACTCCTCTTCCTCCTCTTCATCCTCCCCGCCGGGCCTGGGCGGGTTCGGGTGTCCCCGGCGTGGTCCCCGAGGTGCCGGGGTCTGGCCTAGTCCTGCGGGAGGCCCGGTGGGGGTGAGGGAGGCAGCCCCGGCTCCGGGGGTCGTCGTGTCGTCCCCCCCAGCACCTACCCACTCGTCCTCGTCCACCCCCTCGAAGGAGTCCTGAGGCAGCGGGTCATCCCGGTTGCCAAGCCGGGCCACCATGGCGCTCAGGAGCTGCAGAGAGGAAGGGCAGAGCCATAGGGCCCGGAGCATCTCCCCCAGCCCTGGCCCCCCGCAGCAGGGTGGTGGTCCCGGGGTGCCCCAGCACCCACCTCCTCCTTCTTCTGCTCGTCAGACTTCTCCTCCAGGTAGACGGACGCAGGGACGAACTTGCGCGCCGGAGCCTCCTTTGGGGCCTCGCTCACTGGGAGAGCAGCGGCGTTGTGGGGCAGAAGGGTTCTGCCCCGTGGCTCACCCACACCCATGCACCCCATGGCCATCCCCGTGGGCCCGGGGCCCTCGCCCCTGCTCCTCCGCACCCACCTGGCGTCATGTCAGCCGGCCGCAGGCTGGTGCGGCGCTGCTGCCCGTCCTGCCCTGCCAGCCAGGCGCTGCCGCCGAGGGCCGGCTCCCACCACACGCGGGTCGGCGGGTAGATATCGTCCTGGAAGTACTCCTTCTGTGGGGGCAAGGGGCACTGAGGGGGGGTCCTCTGCCTCCTTCGTCCCCCCCAAACACAGCTGGGTCTCCGCCGCCTACCTTGACGCGTGGCACGTGGAAAGCCACCGGTTCGAGGGTGCTCTGCCCCAGGCGCAGCGCCCGGGCGAACTCCACCTCCCGCACCTCGCACGCCGTTTTGGGCAAGAAGACGAAGCCCTGATGGGGCGGAGGCGTGAGCGGGGCCTGCCGCAGGTCTGGCAGTGCAGGCAGGGGGGTCAGGGACAGGCAGCGTGGCCCCGGCAGGCCCCCCCCTTTACCTTGTGGGGTTCGTTGGAGGTGAAGCTGTTGCACTCGAGGAAATAGGGGGGCTCGGGTGTCACCTCGTAGAGGAAGACTCTGGTGTCACCCTGGGGATGGAGAGAGATGGGGGCTGGCAGGGGGTGCACAGAGGGTCTCTCAGCACTGTTGGGGTGCTGTAGGCAGGTAGCCCCCCCAGTTTTTTGGGGGGGCAAAGCCTCACCTTGCCGGTGAGGAAGACAACGCTGGTATCCTCATCGTAGAAGGGCAGGAGGGTGGAAGGAGCCACGTCGAGGCCGAGCACGGACAAGGGTCCCTCGGGCAGAGCCTGCGCCCGGTAGAGGAGGATCCTCCTCTCGCTGCGGCTGCGGGGAGGTGACAATATGGGGGGGAGGGGGCATGGTGTCCCTTGGGGACCCCTGCCCCGGTGTGCGTCCCCCTCTTTACCTATCGAAGCCGGACACCAGGAGGTAGTCGCCGCCGCAAACCCAAACCAGGCGCGCTCCACGGCTCCCCTCGGGACCCGGACCCTCCTGTGTGGGGTGAAGGTCACCCTGCCTGCTCGGAGAGAGCTGGGGGTGCGGGCAGGTGCCCGGGGGGGGGGTTCCCGGTTCGTAGAGCCGTAACCGGCTGTCTTTGCTCACCGTCGCCAGCTTCTTCCCATCGGGGCTCCAAGCCAGGCTGAAGATCTGGGGGGATGGATGGGGTGTCCCCCTCATGTCCCCTGCCTGGCCAAACACGTCCCTCAGGTGTCCCCAAGTGTGTCATCCCTTACCTGATCGGTGTGTCCCCGCAGGCACAAGGCTTCCCGCCCGGTGCTCAACTCCCAGATCCTCACTGTCATGTCATAGGAGGAGGAGACCAGGAGATCGGATGCCACAGGGTGGAAGCGGATGGAGTAAATCTTCTCCGTGTGACCTGGTAAGGGTGAGTTGTACGTGGCCATCCCCATCTGCACCAGGATGGGGACACCGCCGGGGTGGCTTGTCCCCAATGTGGGGTGCTCGTGTGCCTCCCTGCACACCCCTCACCTCGGAGAATGGCTTCGGGCTCCTGCAGCGTCTCCCGCAGCCCTCCCTCAGGGATCCGCCACAGCCGGATCTTGGCGTCTTCACCCGCTGCGGCACCGAAAGGGATGGGCAGTGGTTAAGCCAGTGATCTGGTGTGCCCGGTGCCGGGGAATAGCCCGGTGCCCTGCCCCGGGCACGGTGTGCGTACCAACAGCGAGGCGCCGCGGGTTGAAGGGGTCCCAGGAGAGGTCGGCCACCGCCGCGCCGTTCTGGATGGTGGGCACGGCTGCATCGGGGAGGCGGCCCGGCTTGGAGAGCTGGGGGAGAGAGCCAGGGGGTCACCTGCACTGCGCCCACTGGCGCCGTGCCGGCCGCCGTGCCACACCGGGGGTACCTCGAGGATGGCGATCTGGCCGCCGGCGGAGAGCAGGGGGAGGGCGACACGCTGGTGGTTGGCACAGAAGCCGTCACACTCGCCCGGTGTGGTGAGGCTGAGCCCCCGCAGGTTGGTGAGGTGGGTGTCGCGGTGCAGCACCCTGCCCTGCGCGTGTCGGAAGCGGGAGCTGGGCCCTGGGGCAGGCAGGGGACAGGTGAGCACCCCGGGTGTCCCCACCCCGGCAGAGCCCCAGCTGGGGGGGACACCCGCTGGTGGTTGGCACAGAAGCCGTCACACTCGCCCGGTGTGGTGAGGCTGAGCCCCCGCAGGTTGGTGAGGTGGGTGTCGCGGTGCAGCACCCTGCCCTGCGCGTGTCGGAAGCGGGAGCTGGGCCCTGGGGCAGGCAGGGGACAGGTGAGCACCCCGGGTGTCCCCACCCCGGCAGAGCCCCAGCTGGGGGGGACACCGA